GGGTATTTCCATAAGATAAATTTCTAGAAATGGAATTGCTGGGTCAAAGCATATAAATTTTAAAATACTTTATTTAAAAATTGTAAACTTGGGGATGGAGATGGCTCAGTGCTTAAGTGCACTGGCCACTCTTGCAAAGGAGCCAGGTTCAGTTCCCAGCACCCACATGACCACTAACAACTACCTGTAACTCCAGTTCCAGGAGATCCAATGCCCTCTTCTGGCCTCTGCAGGCATTGCATGAATGTGGTACACTTATACCCATAAAAGTTGTTTTAAATTTTAAATTGCCAAGTGTGGTGGTGCATGCCTTTAATCCCAGCACTGAAGAGGCAGAGGCAAATGGATCTCTGTGAGATAGAAGACAAGCTAGTCTACATAGTGAGTTTCAGGCCAACTGTAGCTATAGACAGAGGCCCTGCCTCAAAAAAAAAAAAAGTCAAATTGTCTTTAAAAGGACTTATTTTGGGGCTGGAGAGATGGCTCAGTGGTTAAGAGCACTGCCTGCTTTTAAAGAGGACCTTGGTTCAATTCCCAGCACCCACATGGTGGCTAACAATCATCTGTAACTCCAGTTTCAGAGGATCCAGTGCCCTCTTCTGACCTCTGCAGGTATTGCATGACATGGGTGCACCTACCTATATACAGGCAATATACTCATACACATAAAATAATAAATAAAATACAGTTTTTTTAAAAAAAGGATTTATTTTTATATCTGTGTGTGCCATTCAGGTGCCTGCAGAAGCCACAAGAGGGTGTTGGATCCCCTGAATTGGAGTTATGGGCAGTTGTGAGTCGCCTGATTTGGGTGCTGGGATCTGAACTCCAGTCAAAAGGCTATATGGCAGGCTGGAGAGATGGCTCAGAGGTTAAAAGCACTGATTGCTCTTGCAGAGAACCCAGGTTCAGTTTCCAGCACCCATATGGTGGCTAACAACTATCCTTAACTCCAGTTCCAGGGGATTCCACACAGTCTTCTGGCCTCTGAAGCACCAGGCACACACATCGTGCACTTACGTGTGGGTAAAACATTTGCTGTGTTGCCTTATGACTGTGCACATTTTGACTACTCTCCACTAGTTTATTTCAATTAATTTTCCTCAAGTGTCCAAGTAGTCCCAGAATTAAGGACTTTACTCTGCTAGTTTTGCATTATAGCTCTTTATTGTCACCCAAATCATAAACAACTCCTAAGAACTTAGCAACCAATATTCTGCAACAAATATTCCGATATGCCACTCCCAAATGAGAGAGGACAATATGTTGGCATTTCTCAGGCTTTTCAGAACACTAAGATTAGAATCATCAAGTAAATTTTGGGTCACTCATTTAAGGGACAAGCAGCTTTCTCTGTGGAGTCTTATTGGGGACTATGTCTCTAACCCAGCATGTGATGAAGGTATGCCTGGCAGGCCCCAGATGCAAGTCTGTAACCCAGGTGTACCTCCAGTCTAGAAGCTGAACAGCACCACCAAGTGGGCAGCCTGCATCATTGGTAGTTAAGGCCTGTACAGACCTTTATTTTTTGTGTCTGTGTCTGTGTATGCCATTTGTATATAAGTGCACTTGGAGACCAGAAGACGGTGTAGGATGGATTCCCTGGAGCTGAAGTTATAGGCAGTTGTGAGCTCCTTGGCATTGTTGCTGGGAAACTGAACTTGGATCCTCTGAAAGTGTAGCAAGTGCTCTTATCTGCTGAGCCATCTCTCCAGCCCCTATACTTTTATTTTCTGTATCTATTTTAATACTAGAAATATACATAATTAAGAGTTAGATGCCACTATAATTGAGATTCTACTAGAAAGCTTATAATAAAAATCTTTACTGTTAATCCTAATCTAGAGGTAGGTTTTAATTATTTTTAATTTTTATTTTCTGTGTATGGGTGTTATGCCTACATAACATGTAAATGTACCCATGTTGTGCAGTGCTCTCAGAGGACAGAAGAGGGTGTTGGATCCCCTAGAACTGGAGTTACAGTTGTTAGCTGCCATGTGGGTGCTGGGAGTTGAACCTGGGTCTATTGCAAGAGTAGCCATTGCTCTTAATCACTGAGCCATCTCTCCAGCCTGTAACTTTAATTCTGTAGTTATAGTTCCTTAACTTATGTCATTCTGCCCCAATACCTTTCTTTTTTTCTTCAAACAGGGTGCTCTTGAACTTACAATCCTCTTGCCATGCTTCCTAAACTCTTGAATTACAGGTGCCTACCACTATGACTGGTATCACATCCTATCACATCCTATCTCAGAATTACTGAATAAGTGGATTTGTGGTGGGCCCAGCAATCTGGATTTAATCAGGAAAGCTCATTGGCACTCAAGCTCGAGTTCAATACCAGATATTTCATTCCTGTGTAGCAAGAGTCTTCATGGCTATAGGGTTTGGATTTTTTCAACTTTTGTCAGTAACACAGGCTCTCTTATAATTTCTTCCTTGAAGCAGTTTCTTTGTGATTCAAAGGAGAGAAACATCCTTTTCTGTCTTTTTTGAGACAGTGTATCCCTGCAGCCCCAGCTGGCCTGGAACTCACTATGTAGACCAGGTTGGCCTTGAACTCACAGAGATCCGCCTGCCTCTGCCTCCCAAGTGCTGGGATCAAAGGCATGTGCCACCACACCCAGCTTTTTCAACTTTTAATTGAACTTCATTGTGGTATAATTCAAACACAATAAAATTCCATCACCCAGAAAATTCCTGGCAGTCAGTTCCTACCTAAAAGACAACCACTGACGTTTCTGCCACCAAAGCCTGGTGGCTAGACTTTATATTAACAGAATCAGAGTATGTAGTATTCCCCCCATTTTTTATAGCTTTAGATTGAAAATTCTCAGTTTCACACCCAATCTCTGTATGATATGTGTGTGTGGGCATGAGTGCAGAAGTTAGAGGACAAGTTGTAGAGTCAGTTCTCTCTTCCACCTTTTTGTGGGTTAGGGGATTGAACTCGGGCTTATCTGGCAAGTGCCCTTACTTGCTGAGCCATCTTGCAGGTCTCAGACTGCTTTTTACATAACACTGGTTGTGCTATTTTACATTTTCAGGCCCCAAAGTTGGCTAAAGTTTAGCATCAGTCTTGTTCCTATGGCATTACTCTTGTACTTGCTGTTCCCTCTCTCTAGAATGACATTCCTAGTTTTGGCATGGCCAGTCTTCTGACATTCAAGTTTCAGGTCATGTTCCAAAGAGATTACTATCAACTGAATTATGTTCGTACCTCAAATTTACATGTTAAAATTAAGCCCCCAAAATGTCATTAATTATGTTTGGAGATGAAACCTTTAAAAATTTGAAGGAAGCTGTTAAGATAGTTACTGGTAACTGGTTTCAAACTGGACCAGAAGAAGAAAGGACAATTGGCAAATTGTAAATACTGCATGTTAAACAAAAAGCATGTAAAAACAAAAGCATGCTATCATTAAATTCCTGATTTTGATCACTATGTTGAGACTGTTGCAAGAGGCTATCTTTGTCCTTGGAAAATACATACAAAAGGACAAAGGAGTATGTCTGAAACTGTAAAATGATTTGTAAAAGGGTAAATACATACATGCAATATATATGTATATGTCTATACAAAGTACAGAAAACAATGTAATTCTGGCTGAAAAATATGTTTCTGCACTATTCTTACACTTGTGTGGACATTTGACACTTTACATATGTAAAGGTTATAAAAGTTTTCAGTTCCCATACTGTCAGAAGTGGTCTGTCCCCAAATTCCAGGAATTCTAGTTTGTTCCTTTTCTCCATCACACTTAATCACTGGCAAAGACTATCCTAAACACTTGTTTGACTACAATGTCTAACATTACAGAAAACCCTACTCTTGTTTTAAGTGCTTTAACTGTGTAACCTCTATGAAAAGATGCAAGGTTGAATGCCTCCAGTGGCAAACAACAACAACAACAAAACCGCAAAGATTATCATCATGTCCACTGCTCTTTCTACAGACTTAAAGTAGTGCACAGCACATTATGTCCTTCAATATTTGGAGATATAGATAACAAATACTGGGCATCTATCAGGCATTGGGGTACAAAGCAGACAACAAAATGTTTAAAAATCCACCAAAAAGCCAAACACAAAAAAGCAAAACCCTTTGGGCATGGCGGTGCAAGCCTTTAATCCCAGCATTCACAAGGCAGAAGCAGGTGGATCTCTTTTGAGTACCAGGCTTGCCTGATCTACATGAAGAGTTACAGGCCAGCACTAAATAATGAGATCTTGTCAACACACACCCACAAAAACATTGCCGCCAGGGCGTGGCAGCACATGCCTTGAAGGGAGACTCTGTCTCAACAAACAAACAAAAATCAAACAAGGACAAAACCAAATAAAAATCCATGCCTGCCGGGCGTGGTGGCGCAGGCCTTTAATCCCAGCACTTGGGAGGCAGAGGCAGGCGGATCTCTGTGAGTTCGAGGTCAGCCTGGTCTACATAGTGAATTACAGGACAGCTGGAACTACAGGGAGACCCTGTTGCACAAAAGACCAAAAAAAAAAAAAAAATCCATGCCTATGGGTTGGGGATGTAGCTTAGTACATGTACAAAATCCTGGGTTTAATTCCTAGCACTTTGTAAACCTAGTGTGGTGGTACATGACTTTAAGCTCAGGACTCTGGAGGTGGAAGCAGGAGAATAAGAAATTCAAGGTCATCTACAAACTACATAAGCATTGTGCCCCCTCCACCTTTCCCCTAACCCGGTGGGGTGTGTGTGTGGCGGGGGGTCGACCTTCCAAAATCCATGCCAAAAGTAGTTTATATTGGGCACTCCACTGACCAGTCACCGTATTTCATTTGGTTCTATCAACCTTCCCAGGTCAGTGAGGACAGTTCTGTCTGGCAGAGAAGGTGAAGCAATGATGGTTTGCCCAAGGTCACTGAGCTAATTAGTAGGCCTGAGGAATAGTATTCTAACTCAGGTTTGAGCTGTGAATCAATCAATCCGACTAATCCCATCACCCAATCAGTATTAGGTGCGGATGGTAGGGTAGCTCTCGCGTTTGTAAAGGAAAAGGGCTTCTGATACTCAGGCTGAGCGAATCGCGGGATTTTGGCGCGTATTTTTTTGTGGGCTGGGTGTTCTGGCCCGTGATTGGTCCCGGATGCGCCCAGTCGCTAGAGCTCCGTCGACTTCTGCACATAGGCGGCGGCGCAGCAATCGGCTGGCCTCCCGGGGGATGGGCCACCAAGAATCTCCGCTGACCCGAGCAGGGGCGGGAGGTGCTGCTTACATAAAGAGGTTACGTAAAGGGCTCAGCTGGCGCGAACACGAGGAGGACCGAGGGAACCTGGAAGCACTAGCCTCCCCCGCGAGCGCCGCTGTCACCACCCGAGCAGCGCCAGAATCTGCAGTACGCCGGCCCGGGACCTGCGCCTTGCGTCCTCCGCCGCCACCGCTGGGCGGACAACCCGGACCCGGAACCGACCGTTCTTGGGCGCGGGCTCCAGGGGGGAACCGAGCCGCCCGGAAGTGGCACAGCGCTGGCCAGGTAAGGGCAAGCCGCGGAGGAAAGGCCGAAGCCGGAGCCCCCGCGCTCCGCGATGCCGGGGGAGGGCCAGCGGGGCCTCGGCTAGAAGTCCTGAGAGACCAGACTTTCAGCCAGTCTTCTCCACCCGCTGCGCCCGGGGACTTGGGTCGGTCCGCCGGGCTCCGTAGGATTTAATTCAAAAGACTGTTTACACCCGGAGAATCTGGGTAGGACGCCGGAGGGGGCGTGGGGAAGGGGCTCAGCGCCCGGAAAAGGTGAAGCAGGCCCAATCGCTCCTCGAGGCGATCGTCATAGGTCGTCAAGGCCTCTGCTTCTTGTTTTTCTTATTGTAGACCGATAGATCAATGGACAAGGAGGACGGTTTGTACTTCACTTTCCGGTCCTCCCTCTGTACCACTTCTCAGTGGTTCCGCCTTTCCCGCTTTCCTCTCCCCTCCCCCGTTCAACCCCTGCCCGTGGCTCCTTCTTAAAGGGGCCGCGGCTGGCGAAGGTGGGACTCTCCGCGCCCAGTGCTCCAGGTTTGCCCTTCTTGGCCTGGTGTTGTTTAACCGATATTTTTCGCCCTCAGATCTCAATCCAGGGTACAGCTCCTCAGCATCCCGGGGCCAGGCGGAGGGATGAGGCAGGGGGGGCTCTGGCGGTACCGTTGCTGCTCCCCCAGCCGCCTGCAGCCATGGAAACGGGAAAGGAGGACGGCGCCCGTAGAGGTACACAAAGCCCGGAACGGAAAAGGCGAAGCCCATTGCTGCGGGTGCCCTGCGCGAAGCTGAGGCCGGTGGCCCAGGCCATGAATCCAACGGCGACCGAGGCCCCGGACGAGGCCTTCCTGGCTCGGCGGCGGCCAGAGGGCGGAGGCGGAGGCCCTTCGCGGCCCCGCTACAGCTTGGTGGCCGAGATCGGGCGCGGCAGCTACGGCGTGGTTTATGAGGCAGTGGCTGGGCGCAGTGGGGCTAGGGTGGCGGTCAAGAAGATCCGCTGCGACGCGCCCGAGAACGTGGAGTTGGCCCTGGCTGAATTCTGGGCCCTGACCAGCCTCAAGCGGCGCCACCAGAATATTGTGCAGTTTGAGGAGTGCGTTCTGCAGCGCAACGGGCTAGCCCAGCGTATGAGTCATGGCAACAAGAACTCACAGCTGTACCTGCGCCTGGTGGAGACCTCCCTCAAAGGTAAGAACACCTTGGGCGGTCCTTCCCTCAGAAAGCCTGGACCCTCTGCCCTCAGAACTACTTGGCTTGTCTCTCTGGATCGCTAAGCTAAACCCGGTCTGTCACCATCACCCTGGGGCCAAGACTCCCCATCTAGCCTAGGCTTTATGGGCCCTTTGAATGCAAAATCAGTCTGTGCCACAAATGTTAGCTGATATTTCATAACAAAAGTTATCTTAAGTGCTAACCATTATTTTAGTAAATAGTAACCATGAGCCCTGATTACAAGGCCACAGTTAAAAAACCCAGTGGGGGTGAGTTGTTGGCAGAACTGCAGAGCCCACCCACCCTTGAGGGGCTCTTCTTTTTCCTCTTCAAAACAAAAAGAAGCTATCTGACCCGCCCACACTCTCCCTTCCTGGTTCCTAGCTTCCTGATAACCTTCCAGTTCCACCCCAAAACTCTCACATCCAAGTTTGAAATTTTCTCTGAGCCTTCCTCCCTTCCGTTATCGCATCCAAGCATTTAGTTCATTTTCTGGCTTAGTCCTTTGAGGTATGCAGATTACTAACCCAAGAGCTTTCACCTAAAACATGTTACCTCTTTTCCTGCCTTTTACAATCATAATCATTTTCATAACCTCTAAGACTGGGAAGTGGTTTTGCTTAAAAAGAAAATGGGGTTCTTTGAGGCCAAAGGGCTTGCATTTCTGCATAAACTACAAGTAGTCAAGGATCTGCTAGAGGAGAAGGAGCTGTGGGGTAGAAAAGTCTAAGGGAAAAATAACTAGTCTGAATCCCAGCAGATTCTGAGCACTCAAGCACTTTTGGATAATTGTAAAAGTAAATTCTGTCTCCATTCTATAAATAGAGACACTAAGGCTTAAAGTGGAGCAAATACATCTTGATTAAGGTTAAAATCACCTTGAAGGGAAAGAGGGACTCCTGACTTCAAAGTCTCTTACATACTTGAAGCTTAAGTGATATGAACCCAGATTGGTCTTAACTCAAGACCTGCATCTTTTCACCTAGGTAATGCTGCTTTCCCTATCTAAAGTTGAACTTACAAGGTAGGTATAGGAGTAGATAGTGTGGTTTGCTAAAATCTTTTTGGAGCTTTTGTCAGATTTTACTGTAAAATCCCAAGAGACGCCCTTGTAGGGGTTTTAAAGTCAGTTTCAAAATGGATTGGATGGTGTGATCTGAATCACTAAGGGCCTCTTTTTAAAAGTACACTAATTCCTTTATCCCCATCCCTACCTGTCCATTCAGAAAAGGCCTTCATCCCTCCAGGATGCTTTTCCTAAGACTCCTCAGGGAGAATCTTTTACTTTCCATGTATTCTCATCACTTAATTTCTTAATCCTCTATTCTCTGACTTCTCAGTGGTTATTTCATATTTTGAGACTGACTTGGACTGTTGTGAATTTGTTATTGCCAAACAGTACCTTCTAACCTCAGTTCATTGATCCCACCAGTCTTGAAACTTTGACTTCAGTTTACAGCCCTTGCTGACTCTCCCAATGTACTAATACTATTAAACTGTATTCACAGATTTTTAAGAATTCTTCAGTAAACAGTGGCAGCATAGCAAGTAAACACCATGGCCTTTGGGCTTACATTCAGTCCTGGCTTGTTCATAACATGGGCTCATGCCTTTATCCTAAGATTAGGGTATCTGTGTCATAAGGTTGCTGTTCGTGCTGGGAATGTCAGTAAAACTATGGATAAAGAATTCACTGCCTCATTAAGTTCAGACACCATTCTGAATTTCTTCCATCTTCATCCTCCTAGAAGTTCAATTCTTAATTGACATTTCCCAAACTCTGAGCACATCTTATTTCCTGTTTGTTCAGAATATGAGGTTGACAGCAACACTAATTGTTCATCCTCTTTGTGAACTAAAATCTAAAACTAGGGAAATGAAATATTTTCCTTTGGGCCTTTTCAGTTTGGAGTCCTTATTTTTTTTTCTTCTGTGTGTGTGTGTGTGTGTGTGTGTGTGTATGTATGTGTGTATGTGTGTGTACCCACACACACGCATGTGCGCGCCTTTTTGAGACAAGGTCTCCCTGTAGCCCCAGTTGGCCTGGAACTTGCTATGGAGTCCAGGCTGGCCTCGATCTCACAGAAATAACCTGTTTCTGGCCTGCTGAGTGCTGGGACTAAAGGTGTGCACCACCACATGTCATATGTCAGTTTAGGAAGTATAGTACATAAGTAATCAGTTTTTGCTAACATTGGTTTCAGTTTCCAAGACATCATCTGTGCTTGATCTGTCTCTGGCTCTGAGTCTTGGAGCATGCTGTTGCTGTCTAGTCATGTCAGAGCTGAAGGAATTCTAGAGACATCCAGGAGCAGCTTAAACTGAAAAGTTTTTTGCAGCTGTCCTTTACCCTGTCATTGTAAAATGATTTTGAAATAGACCAAAATAATTTGTCAACTTTGGTATCTTTCATGCACATTTTTTTTTTACCAAGTCTCTCCCTGAAGTATTTGAAGAGATAAAAGTAACAAAAAAAAACCAACAAAAAAAAAAATTAAACACCCCCCCCCAAAAAAAAACTTGCATAGGTTTTATGCATATTTGAAAAGTTTGAAAACTATAGAAGGTATAAGTAGTGATCAGGGTCATTGAATGAATGACAGGTTAGCTCATTAATCAGAACTTTGTAGAGAGTGTTGTACATAATTAAGAGACTAGCAGGTACAGGGAACTTTTGAAAGGAGGGTGCCCAGTCATGAGTGGCAAAGAAATGGCAAAGAGAAACCCATTTCCTATTGGACCAATAGAAAGTCATTTTCCTCCTTTCATCTCAGTTCCTTGTTGGACACACAGAAGCCATTTTCATAGTCTTCACAAATTATTTGATGTATAAATAATAACAAAAGAAAAAGAAAAATCATGTTTATATCCCACTTTCATTAACTTCTGCACATCATATTTTTTTCCAAGCGTAGACCAAACAATTCCTACCCATAAGTACCTTATATTCAAATTGTATTCAGATAGGTCTTAGATGTCTTCTGTCAAAGCAAGGCCTTTATTTTTTTGAGACAGTCTCACATATCCCAGGCTAGCCACAAACTTGTGTTTTCAAAGATGACCTTGAACTTTGGATCCTCTACCTGGAGTCCTGGGATTACAGATGTGCACCAGTAAACCTAGTTTATGTGCTGTTGTGGATTAAACCCAGGGCCTGTGCATACTATACACTCTACCCACTCCCACTGAGTTACAGTCCTTGCTCTCAGCTTCTGTTTCACAAAGAAGGAACAGAAGCCCAGAAAAGGGGACAGGACTTGTCCAGAATGAATTAATGTCACAATCTAAACCCCATCTAGGGCTTTAAAAAACCAGATTAAGTCCTGTAAATTTGTTTGATGGGTTGGTTGTCCATGTCTTCAACTCTGAAGTGCTTTTCACATGAAAAGAGGAGTTAAGACATCAGTAGTTTTTTATCACCTTGTTTTCCATTCCTAAAAAATCCTGTCCTTAAACAAAGCTTAAGATCACTGCCACTTAGAAGACAGCAAGCAAGCCTAACTCATTTTCAAACACAGACAAGCTGGGAGCCTAGCTTATTCCTAATTTGATAATCTCTCTCTTACCAGTGGTTTGATGTTTATACTTTTGGTAGCTCTATGTTGGTTGGAAGCTAGGCTTTTGGGAAATAGTCCTTCCTCTTATGAGCCAGGTCACTATATATGAGCCTTTGCAGATTTTCTTCTGTAAGACGTGCCCATCTAAGTGATCAGCCATACTATGAGGTCACAAGTGAGGACATTCTGATAAATGGATTCTTATTTTAGAGGCCTGGGGAAACAGGAACAAAAGTTGCTCACACACGATCTAGTGTAAGGGAGCCTGAATCTGGCGATTGCAAATTCCTCCTAGCTACTTAGTGCCTAAGGAAACGTAAGGGGCCCCAAACAGGGCAGTCATCTGTTGCTCAGGTTTCTGGAAATCAACTTTGAATTCTGTACTTTGATTTGGGCCTTGGAATTGAGCCCCCAGTAGATAGAGATGAGTGATCTTTGACTATCTTGACATTGATAAAAGTGGCATTGCGGGCCCTCAAAGTTAACAGGATACCGTAGAACACTGGACTTGGGGTCCAGAGGCTTTAGTTTCAATTTTACTTTTGTTAGTAACAACTAAAACTTACTGGATTAAGCTTAACTTAATTTACTGGATTATGCTTTAATCTCAACAGTTGGATGGCAAGACAGGAGGATTGCTTTAAGTTGAAGATCAGCCAGAGCTATAGAGTGAATCCCCATGCCAGCTTGGGCTACTGAGATCCTGTCTCAGAAGCAGGCAAAATCTTGCTGATAATCTGCCAGATGCTACTCTAAGGCTTTATACCTATTAACTCACACAGCCCTCAGAACCCTTTCTTGAAGTCAACACTATGATTATCTTTTGCAGGTGAGACAACTAAGGCAGTGAGGTTGCCTGATGTAAGACAGCTAAGCAAGTGGCCCAACCAGGCTTCCAAGTGCAGGCTTTCCTGCAGGTCTTACCACTAGGGGTGTGCCTGGGTTAGTGGCCAAAGTTTAGAGTTCTTTTTTCTTGGTTGTAAAATGAGTGTACTTTATTTAAGAATCGAATGGCTGCTGTTAGTGTTGAATTATGTTTAATAACTGCCCATAACGCTGCTTTCTGTTGGTACCATCCATGTCTCTGCAGCCAAGGGTACTGCACCTGCTCCCTGATCTGCTTTTCAATGAGTTGGGACATTCTTGGGACAACTATGTAAACTTTTCTCTAGCTACTGAGTGAGTGCTTTTCTTCTGTATAGGGATTTTAGGTACCAGCCCCAGGAGATAGAAACCACCAGTCTAATTGAGAGCGTTGGTTAATTGGGGTTACATTGGGTAAGGCTTTTTATAGTATAAACTCTCAGGGAGAGCTTAATTTCCTAGTAGAATATCGGTTCACCTTGAATTTGGTCTTCAGTGCTACCTTAGGGCTAGGAATCCTCCTGAGTGACTCAAATTTTTATTAAGTTGTCTTTAAATTTATATATTTCACATTCCCCAGTGTTACCAGGTATAGGATCTGTCTGCTTACCACACAACTGGAGGCAGTGGAGAAGCAGAAGTGGTGGTGAAGAGCATACAGTGAGCTAACTGATCTGAAGACAGGGGTGGACATCATCCTAAAGCCACTTAGGAAGCTGATTTAGGGGCAGTTTGTATAGGAGATATTGAAGACTTGTGGCACCTTCTCTCAGGTGGAAGTTGTGGCCAAATGACGTATATCTGATCTTAATCACCTAGTCCCAAGATTTTTAGTTATGAGTATCAAGGATAAAATAAAGATCATTATAGTTTCCCTCCCTCTCCCCCTTCCTCCCTCCCCCACTACCCTGGAACTTAAGAGATCTGCCTGCCCATGCCTGTGCCTGCTGATTGCCAGGACTAAAGGAGTGGGCCACCTTACCTGGCAAGGTCATAGATCTTACCTTTGCCTATTCACCTGTTAGTAAACTGTACTCATATAGTGAGCTGTGGTGGGGAACCCTGATGCTTGATTTTATTTCCATTTGTGCTCACATCTAATGGAAAAGTTGGCTATGGAGCTGATTTGGTCTCATTGCAGCCTGTGAAAGATCTAGGGGGCCAGTCACCAGGAATGTGAACTGAGTTCTGAGTAGGAAGGATAGGTTCGAAATTTCAGATGGTAGAGACTGGAGAAAAGTCAGCTGTGTGGCAAGGTCATTGTACATGGAGAAGTACTTGAGCCCCACCACCATTGGTAACTCCTACTCTGGCCTCTAGTGATAGAATCCAAGTTTGGTTTTGTTTTTATGAGATAGGGTCTTGTTATATAGTCTAGGCTGGCTTTGAGCTTATAGCAGTCCTTCTGTCTTAACCTCCCTGGTGTTGGGATTACAAGTATAAACCACCATGCCAATCAGGCTCCATGTTTTAACAAGGTCCCTGGTAGTGTTCCCTCGATATCCTAGCAATAGCTAATCTTTCATGGTATTTCCATATTCATATTCTCATTTAATCCTCTTCTGCATTGGTAATTTTGTAACTTGATATCACAGATGCGATATATTGAGATCCTTCAAGGGCTGTCACTCAGCAAAGACAGGAAGCTTTTGTGGGTTCCAGGCTAGCCAGAGCTCCATATTGAGATACCGTCTCAAAAAAAAAAGAATTATAAATAAATAAAAAATCCTTCAAAGTCAAGTAACTTGTCCAGTATGATGATAGTGCATGTTGGAGCTCCAGAATGACCCAGGTTCTTTCTCAATTTCTGTTCTTTTTTTATTTTTAAATTTTATTTGTGTATGTTTTGATGGCCTGTATGTTTTACTAGTATGTGTGTAGTGCCTAAGAGGGCCAGAAGAGGGTAACAGAACCAGAACCACCATGTAGGTGCTGGGAGTCGAACCTGGGTCCTCTGGAAGAACAAGTGCTCTTAACCCTTGAATTTCTATGTTCTTGACATGCTATTGTATGACCTGTGTGGTCATGTTAAATAGCTGCCAGTGGTGTCCAGAGACTTTAACATTATTAATACTCAGTAGTTGTTTACACGTGTTTTAGCTGTCAGTATGAAGCCTACAAGAGCGTAGTGACAGGTGTTTCCCCTCCCACTGTACAGAAAATAAAACCGATTCTTCGGCTCTTGGGTCATAGTTGTATAAGTGGTGGGGACAGGAGGAGAATGTTGGTGCCAAGCCTGATTGGCTCCACACCCTTGTCTTTTCTCCTAGGTCTGTAAGTTCAGTTTTGACCACTAGCGGACACTGTATCTTGCCTGACAGCCATTTTAACAGATCTATTCGAATAATCTAAGTACTTTGGGCACACCCTGTGATGTTGACTGATACCTAGACTCTTCATAGAGCTATGGCTCAGCCTCAAATCTTTGAGAGTAGGATGAGAGATTGATCTGTAGGCTTGTCTTCCTTGAGAGGACATGGCATGGTCTTCAGTCTGTCAGGACTGATCATTAACTGAGCTAATACTGAAAATAAAATATCTTGATGTACAATGCTTAACTGATCAAAAACAGGTAGTCATAATTAAGACTCACGTTTGTTTTCCCTAATCTTTTTTTTCTTAAATATAATTTTATAATCTATACTTCCTCTTCATATTAAACGTAAATTTTTGTCAGAGTACAACATGGTTCTTTGATGCATCCAACCAAATAGTAGCACACTGCTAATATTCTTAGACAGTTGTTTCTCACCCTTCGCTTTTACTGTATTGTAGAGAATGCCACTTTTGGGTGTTTGGTGTCTAGTGTATCTTTTGATAGCAGGGGTTTTATGACCTTTTTAGTCCTTTTAGAATGAATTCCAGGTCCCAACGAATTGATCGTATTTTAGACTTTTGATACTGTTTAATAGCTCTTACTCCAGCATATTTAAGTTACCATACAAATTCTGTACCAAAGCCCGGGCATAGTGGCACAAAACTTTAATCCCAGCACTTGGGAGGCAGAGGCAGGTAGCTCTCTGGGAAATCAAGGCCAGCTTGGTTTATATAGTGAGTTCCAGGCCGGCTGGGGCCATAGGGAGACCCTGTCTCAAAAAAACATAAGCCAGAACAATATCTGTGCCCCCCAAAAGAGTTTGCATTTTGTGTGGTTGGATAACCCAAACCAAGGACTCGGCAGAGCTGAAGCTGAAGAGGTTGCGATGTATAAGGAGCATATGCCACCAGGAAGCATCAAAGATCCAAATGCGAACTTGCTGCTAGCACCATGCGGCAGTAGTAGAGTGTGGGGTTGAGGAGTTCTGGATCCTGCTCCTAATTAGCTGTGAGATTACAAGCAGGTTAATCTTTTGAGCCTCAGTTGTCTCACCTGAAAAGCAGGTGTAATTATCAAGAGCAGAGACAATTGGATAGAATGCTTTGAATTCTTTCATTATGTCACAAGAGATGAGTTTCCCAGATCTGATTTAAGCCTTCAAATCTTTTGCCCATCCCTTTCTGTCCTCATTCCTTGATCATCCTACTCTTTGGTTTCAGAACCTTCTAATGAATTCTTAACCACTCATCTGTCTTCCACCTCCTGCATCTCAGCCTTCAGAGGGGACTTGTTCTGTCCATTGTTCAAGACATGCTTTTGTACATGTTGACGACTCTGGTCTGACTGGAATGTAGGCTTTACAGGCTGGAGAGATGGCTCAGAGCTTAAGAGGACCCAGCTGCAGTTCACCAGGCATGGGATCTGACACCTTTTTTCTTTTTCTTTTTTTTTTTTTTTTTTTTTTTTTTTTTTTTTCTTTTTCTTTTTTGCCTCTGTGGGCATTGCATATACATGGTGCATTTACATACCTGCAGGCAGAATCCTTGTACACATGATATACAAATAAAGTAAAAATTAGAATGTAGACTTTAGCTGTCACAGCCTAAGAAATGTGATGCTGTAGATGGAGCCAGCCACTTTTGCTAATCTTAATTTCATTTTTTTCCTAACATGTAAGAACTTTTTTTCTCTGGCCGGTATATAATAGTGGGATTATTAAAATCAGTGATTTCCGAGCTGAGTGTGGTGGCACACACCTGTAATCTTAGTACTGGAAAGGTTGTCTTTCAAAAAACAAATCAGGGGCCAGAGAGATGGCTCAGAGGTTAAAAGCATTTCCTGTTCTTCTAAAGGACCTGAGTTTAATTCTCAGCACCCATGTCGGGTAGCTCACAACCGACTGTAGCCCCAGATCGAAGGGATGTGATGGCCTCTGTGGGGACACACACACACACACACACAGTCATTGAGTCTTGCTCATTCTTCATTTTTGATAGTTCACCTTGTTGCCATTATTCTGCCTGTGATAATTGCTTGTCATAGATACCTGTGAGACCAAGTTTCATAGAGCCAGGAACATGATGCATACCTAGCTTGGGCTAGGCATGTGATGGACTAGCAGAAGATATGGATGGATTGGAGTATGGTTCTGAAATAAAATTTTAATGCCTTTTTTTTTTTAATGTGTTAACAAAGATTCTTAAGCACGTAAGGAAAGAAGAGTGAAAACATTTATGGAGTAGTAATAATAGAAACCAGGTATGGCAGCTATGTCTGTGATTCCAGTGCTCAGGAGGCTGAGGTAGAGTTGATAGTACCACACCAGCCTGGACCATAACACTAAATGGTGATAGCAGAAATAGCATACACTTTACAGCCTTCTTGAACGCTTTACAGTCTCATCTTCTCAACAGCCCCTGAGAAGTATGGATAGAATCATGCTTCATTTCAGGACAATATAAAGAAACAAAATGGCTTCCAAACCAACTAGACAGCAGTAAACTCAGGCTCCCTACCTGTGCTTAATTTCAAACCCCAGGTGCTTGACACCAGTCCTAATGGCTCCGCCATATATTGACTTGTACTGTGTGGGTAGAATTGGACCTGCATGTGTAGAGTTTGCTTGGTGCCAGCTTTGTAGGTCCTCTTGGCACAATTTATTTGTCACCATCTTTATTCCAACTTTAATATAGTAATATGAATGTCCACTCAAGTTCTTTCCTGTCCTTTGATTTAGGAGAAAGGATCCTAGGCTATGCTGAGGAGCCCTGCTATCTCTGGTTTGTCATGGAGTACTGTGAAGGTGGAGACCTCAATCAGTATGTCCTATCCCGGAGACCAGACCCAGCCACCAACAAAAGCTTCATGCTACAGCTTACAAGCGCCATTGCCTTCCTGCACAAAAACCACATCGTGCACAGGGACCTAAAGCCAGACAACATCCTCATCACAGAGCGGTCTGGCACCCCCATCCTCAAAGTGGCAGACTTTGGACTGAGTAAGGTCTGTGCTGGGCTGGCACCTCGAGGCAAAGAGGGCAATCAAGATAGCAAAAATGTGAATGTGAATAAATACTGGCTGTCCTCAGCTTGTGGCTCAGACTTCTACATGGCTCCTGAAGTCTGGGAGGGACACTATACAGCCAAGGCGGACATCTTTGCCCTGGGCATTATCATCTGGGCAATGATAGAAAGAATCACTTTTATTGACTCTGAGACCAAGAAGGAGCTCCTGGGGACCTACATTAAACAAGGGACTGAGATCGTCCCTGTTGGTGAGGCGCTGCTAGAAAACCCAAAGATGGAGTTGCACATCCCCCAGAAACGTAGGACTTCCATGTCTGAGGGGATCAAGCAGCTCTTGAAAGATATGTTAGCTGCTAACCCACAGGACCGGCCAGATGCCTTTGAACTTGAAACCAGAATGGACCAGGTCACATGTGCTGCTTAGACTTCAGGGCTGAACGTCTTGGTGTTTTAAAACTAGGTGAGTGCTCTCTTTTGTTCTTGTGCGTACACACTCCCTGGATTGGCTCTGTGTCCTGTATTGGGTTGGGCCCTGTGGAGTTGTGGAGAAAACACAGTGCTGGCAAGAAATAACTTCTTGTTAAGAAAGATCGTCCCCAAGTCTTGATGAGTGGAGGTAGGTAGATAATTTGAGTCAAAAAGTCTTCTGAGAGGAAATTACACTCAGCTGAATCTCCTGAAAGAACTTCTTTGTTATTAAGTAATAAATGCTCACTGTAAAAATGTGTGGAAGGGTTTTCAGAGAAGGGACTCTGTCTTTACTATATTCTTCCTGTTCACGTATCCAGTTTATTTACATGGTTAAGATCTTACTGTAATTAAGGAAAGTATTTGCCACTTGTTTCCACAACTGATCTGAGCATCCCAGTAAACATCCTGTTATATGTACCATAATTTAACTGTTGTCCTACTTTAGATAACAGATTGTCTCTCCATTTTAAAGCCTATTAGAATATGTTAATGACTATTCTTACATGGAAACCTTTGCTTATTCAACAGGATCCCTGGGCTTTAATTTTCAGATAGTCTTTCTGGGGGTTATACAATTTCATCCTTGTAAATTCTGCTACTTAATTAGGAAGGGAGATGTTCATCAATATCAGTCATAGTTGAGTAATGGTGAAGGAGAAAAATATTAAAGTAAGTTGACCTCTCAAGGGACTTTGGGGTAGTGAGGAGTATCCCAGAGAGAGGAACCAGCTCCCATAAAGGACCTGATGCCAGTGGTAAGCCTGGGACATGGTGAGAATAGACCAATTTCAGGTTAGTGTGGAATGTAAATATATAGTGATTGGGGAAGACAGGGAACAGCAAGGACAGTGAACAGCATGGCCAGGGGTATTTGGATTTTCTGTACCTAATACTTAGAACTGAACCAGAGTCTGTGGTGTGAACAAGAGCAGGATATTAGAAGTTGACTACCACATGTGCTATGTATTTTTATATGTATCATAAATGATTCATCATTGGTTTTGTCACAGAAACAAACTGTCTAGCACAGGGCCTAGCATCACCTGCGTCAGTTTTCAGTCCTTTCTCTTTGTCACCCTTACATTTCTGGTAGAGTTTGTTCATACTGAGCTGAGCAAGTTATGTGAGTCATTGGGCTTCATTCTGCCATTCCACAACATGAGTGCCATGCCTATGTATCTACCATTCATTGAGTTAGAGCACCGAGAGCCAAGCTTGGGTAATGTTAGAAGCAAGAGCCGGCCAACCAGTGCTTTAGCTGGATTTCATGCTATAGCTCTCTATTTCCGTCTTAGCCTTTCTACCTCTAAAGACCTCTTGGAATTCAAGTTTCTGAGTATAGGAGGAAGGTTATTGGAAGAAGAACCTGACTTTAGGTTAGGATCTTGGGGTTTTTGCAGTTAATTGAGATCTGGTCCCCTATTTGGATATCAACACTTAAGATTTGTGCTGCTTTACAGGGCAAAGTTGTAGCTGAGGAGAATTGACTTCATCTAGAGAAATCTGTGACCTTGAGAAGAGGGGCTTGTTTATGAAAGAGTATCCTGAGCACTTTGTCAGTTCATTTTGTGGCTCTGACAGCTAATCATTGTGTTTGTGGTGCCAATTTGACTGGCTTATCTTGCCCTGTCCTAGGTGAGCACTTAGAATTGTGGGCCTGGGCCCAGGTCTGTGTGACTGATGCTAGAAGTTTGGTATGTTGCCAGACGAGAATCAGGCTTCTGTTAGAAAGGGCATTCAACTTAGTTTCTCTTCCTTTTGTGAAGCTAATTCCATTTATTCAGCACATTTATTTGGAAATGATTTTCTAGGTTCCATTTTACATACTGATAATACAATAATGAACAAAACCAACAAATTTTTTACATTTCATTGAGAAGACAGTGAACATGCATCTTCTGTTAGAAAGGGCTAAGTGGTGTAGGTAAGGCCTTCTTTTAGACAGATAAGACTAGGGTAGGCCTTTCTGAGATAGTGCCCTCTGAGCACAGGCTAGGAGCTGAAGGAGTGCATTTTGAAGATTTCTGGAGAATAAGAATCCCAGAAATGACAGGCATTATAAGGACCTGAAAATTGGAGAGTGAGGTAGGAAGATATACAGGAAAAGAAAAGGAAACTAGGAGTCAAGTTACTAATTAGACCTTTTGTAGGCCATTGGAAAGATTTTGGCTTTTATTTTTGAGTGAAATGAAAAAGCTAATGATATGTTCTGAGTTGTATGATAGATACTGGATCCAGTGTCCTCTTCTGGCACTGCACACACAGATGCACTTACATACATGTAGACAAAACACTCATATACATATGTGTATGTGTATGCACAGAAGAGGGCAATGATACCCCTGAAGCTGGACTTAGAGGTAATTGTGAGCCACCTGACTTGGTTGCTGGGAATTGAATTGGGTCCTCTGGAAGAGTAGCAGAGTACTCTTAACCATTGCGTGCTCTCTTCAGCCCTGAGAAACGGCTAGTAGCAGTACAGGCATTGAGTTTTATTTTGTGATTTATTGGCTATGCGATATTATTAGCAGATTATTTCAACACTTTGGGCCTTGAATTTTTTTTTTTTTAATCCACAAAGTGAAATAATTACGTTTATTTTATGGAAGTTGTTACACTCATGAGATTGTGAAAGTGCCCTAAAAAGTTTTCATTGAAATGTTACAAGGTAGGTTTTGGGTGTGTACTTGTGCTAAGATGGAAGTATAGTAAAACAAGGCTGTATTCAAAGCCAGCTTGTCTAGTTGCTTGTTCTAGAAAGGCATATCTATTTTTAACGATTGCTCAATAATGGGCCCTATCTCCCTTATTTGTCACTTTTAGGAAAGAGTAATTCTCTAATGAATCCTATCAGCCACAAACCTTACCCTAAGCAGGAAGCTAGCCAAATTTATGTGCCAGGTGCTACTGCCCACACATTACCAGGGAGGGTGCTGTAAGATGAGGGACTCTGTGTTCATGGCCAAGCCTGCAGTCCAATACACAAACCCTGTTACTAGGGCTTTTTGAAGCCAAGCCCTTGAATGACGTATGTTTGGAATGGACAGCTAAATCCTGCTGAAGGAAATCAGATGTTAACGTGATCTGAAGGGGTCACAGAAAATATTCTTTATTCCATATGAGGGCTTGGTAGTTGCCTAGCACCACAAAAAGAACCAGGCCTGATTTTTTTGTTGTTGCTGTTGAAGATCAGAGATAATGGGCAAAGCTGATTGAACCCAAGTCTTGAGTGTATGGCTTTAAGTAGTATGCTGTATTGCCTCATTGTCTCTATAAGTCACATAAATTTCAGATGTCTTCATAATTGAATTCAGCAACTAGTTCAGGATAGACTGACTTTACTGCTATCTAGCCCCAAACATTCTGAGGTGAGTTGAGGGGCAAGTGACACTTGCATCCCTTGGGAGGTAGTTCTTCTAATACAAGATTTAGAGTCCTAATCTAAGCAAGGAGGCCTTAAGGAAAGGTGTGGTTGATTCTGTGCCCCAGATGCTGACCTACCTGGTGTCTGGTGGAGCCACTCTGCCCTAAAGTAGATTATTGCATTCTTAAGAAAGAGCTGGTGGGCCAGGTGTGGTGGCACGCTCCTTTAATCCCAGCACTCTGGAGTCAGAGGCAGAAGCAGACAGATCTCTGTAAGATGGAGGCCACCCTGGTTTACATAGCAAGTTCCAGTACCTGGGACTACTGGGAGACAGAGCCTTTGGGTTGGAGAGGTGGGCCAGTGGTTAAGAACACTGACTGGTCTTCAAGAGGACTTGGGTCCTGGGTTCAGTTCTTAATACCCACATAGCAGGACCTACCCTTTACTCCAGTTTCAGGGGATCTGATGTCCTCTTTTGGCCTCTGCAGGCATGGCAGGCAAAACACTCATATATATTATATAATAAAAATAAATTTTGAAGTTTTTTAAAAAATGGGGCCTTTAGGGGCTCAAGAGATGGGTCAGCCATTAAAAGCACTGGCTGCCCTTGCAGAGGACCCAGCACCGACATGGCGGCTAACAGTCATCCATAACTCCAGTTCCAGGGGATCCAACGCCCTTTTCTGACCTTCACGGGCATTGCATAACACAGGTGCACTAACACAGATGCAGGTAATATACATATAAAAATAAAAGTAATAAATAAAAATACTTTTTAAATGGGGTCTTTAGAGTAGAGAGATCATTTGGTACAGGGGATTATGTACCTATTGATTATTAGTTTTTTGATTCAAGCAGACTTAGAACTTCTGAGCCTCTTTCTTGGATCTCTTTTGAGTCACTGTCTATACAAGAGGAGTTATGGCTTTGTCTTGCTCTGCCTTGCTTTCCAGAGCTATGTCAAAAGAGAGGGACTCTGTTTAGTTCACTCTTGCCCCAGGAAATTGAAGCTTTGCTTTCAGCTGTTGACTCTAGTGGGTTAGGTACCAGTGCACAGACATGCCTCTTGGGGCCTTGTCTCTGTAGGTGTTTGGAGTAGGGAAGACTGGTATAAGACCCAGGTATGTTGCAGAGATGGAGGGAGCTGACTGAGCCGTTGAGCTGTCAGTTATATAATGGTTTGTGCCCTCACCTCCGTGCCCTCACCTTCAGATCATCTGTTCCTTTGAGCCCTACAGGTCAGACATATAAGCATCTGGGAGGGAACAGGCCTGCCCTGGGGCTGTTGATAATAGGGCTCAGATGGCTGTTCATCCTTAACTCCACCCTGAAGAGACTGAATCCCTTTGGGCAAATCTAAGGGGCTCTGAAAATCATCTAGATGCCAGCAAAGCTGCTTGAAGGTTTGGCTTCCTTCCAACTTCCATTTTCTCAGACCCCTGGGACCCGAAGATACTAGTGATAGCTTCTGGTTATCGAAACCTGTTTTGAGAGTCCCATGACCTAGGGCCAGTAACCATACCTCTTTTCATCTCTGTTCCTGAATTAAGCTCTGTACTTCCTGTTGTTCCATATCATATGCCTAACTATGTTGTTTGCCCTCGTCCTGCTGCAGTTCACTGCTG